GTATTGGGGGGCGCTATGGGGGTGTTGGTGGTGTTATTCGGGGTTCTGGACCTTTTTCTTGTTTTTTGCGGGGTGCCGACGACCCCCGACCGGTAGGTGCCGACCAGCCGACCGGTCGGCGGGTCGGCAGCCGACTAGTCAAGGGCCGCCGACCATCGGTGTGTGCAACACTGGCTGTTGTTAAAAAATAATAATAATAAAAAAAAAAATGATAAATATCTTCATTTTTATCCTCTGCGCTACTTGTGTCTGATATCACTCTTTGTTTTTCCTTTTCTTTTCTCTCTCTCTCTCTTTTTCTTTCTTTTTTACTGTTGTTGGGTGCAGCAAGGAGATGCCCACCGTACAGCAAATGATAAGGTGGAGAACTCTACCAGGGCCTATTCTGGCCACCACCCGGCGGATGACGGGGCCACTCTTGAGGGAAACGAAGTTCAAGAAGGAACAGACACTGGGGGGGGAGGGAATGAAACAGAGGAGAATGAAACGGAGACGGAGCATCGTGAGCCTCAGGGGCAAAGAACAGGCAAAGGGGATAACAAGGATGAAAGCCAATTGACAGATACAAAGCCAAGGAAGACGATTGGGGAGAGAAATGCGCGGCATGGGTCCGCTGCTGCTAACGCGAAAACGACAGCAACTAGCCGCCATCGCAGATCAGGACGCGTGAAGAGTCGTGAAAATCTGGAAAATCCTTCGGATACGAAGGATAGAGAAAATCCGGAAAATCCAGTGGAGACTAGGGAGAGAGATGTGGCCAACGAGAGAGAAACAGCTGGCGAGGAAGAAAATACCGCCGCCGGGGGAACGAAACAGAGGGAGGCAGTGGAAGTCGAAGAGGAAACTGGTGCTGAAGCGGAGAAAGCGGCAAGGGAAGGTAGGGCCATGAGAGCGAGAGGGAAAGGGGAAGGTGATGGAGACAAAGAGCTAGGTGAAAGGGAGGGCTCACGGCGAACTAGTGAGGAGGACGGGAAGGCCGAGGGGAAAGAGACCGGTGAACAGGAGGGCTCACAACGACGAACTGTTGAGGACGAGGATAGGGCAGCTGTGGAGATGAAGGAGAGTCCAGCAGTGAAAGCAACAACAGTGGCAGCAAATACCGAGCCGAAGACCGGCAACGGCACAGAAGAGAGAGAAGGCACGCAGGGTACACATGCTGCAGACATGCAGGCTGTCACAGGAGAAGCAACCCAGGACAGGACTGCAGATGCCAAGCCCGACGAACAAGTACTGGTCGAAGGACGCGCACAAGCCGAAGATCGCGCTGCGGAGGGAAACACCACAGCAATAGCTCAGACAGGGAGAGCAAAGGGGAGAGATGATAATGCTGACCGGAGATCTCATGAGGGTAACAAGCAGGGGGGGGGAAAGGATGGAAGGAACAGGAGGGAACAGAGACAACCGGAAGTCGATGAGAATAGGGAGCCAGAGGAGAAGGAACAAAGAGAAGAGCATGAAGTAGGTGAGGATAGGAGAGCCGAGACAGAAGCTGGAGAAGTTCGTCCAGATCCCGATGGAGGTGCAATGGTGGGCCAAGCACAACCTGGAGGCAAAGGAGAGGAAAAAGAACGAGGTCTGGAGGAAACAGCACTCCGCGGTGAAGACCAACCTGGAGGCAAAGGAGAGGAAGAAGAAGAAGAACAAGTTCCAGAGGACGCAGTCCATGGAGAACAGAAGGACATAGATGAAGAAGATCAACATCCACAGCGTGGTGACACAGTGCAAAGACCACGGCATGCCAATGGACGTGGACGACCACTCCGCGGTGACGCAGATCGAGAAAGACCACATCGTGATGACACTGCAGAAGGGAACAATGATCATGATGAGCAGAGTGAACATCAGGAGGTTAGGTAGCTATCTGCATGTGTGTGTGTGTGTGTGTGTGTGTGTGTGTGTGTGTGTGTGTGTGTGTGTGTGTGTGTGTGTGAG